AATATTTTTTCAGGTAAAAAAGCTGACCAAGATGAAAATGGAAGAATATTAACAGTTTAAAATGGCACTGAAGTGAAAAAATATACACTTAGAAAAGAAAGATGTTTATTTTGTCAGATGAAGCACTGTCAAAACAACTGTGACACTTGGAAGCTCGGACCCTGCATGCAGGTGCTGGCTTTACAGCCCCAGAATGCTTTCAGTTCAGTCTCTCTCTGAGCTTCTCTTTCTTTGTCTTAAACAGAACTAAGTAAGATAAAGCATGTAAGGAGTTCAGGAGCAAAATGCTATGCACTTCTAGGGCAATAAATGAAAGTATTACTAGACTAATAAATGGGAGATAACATGTTTGAGGAGGAATTACTTGAAAAAAATAGATCTGTAAATTCAAAACTTGCTAAATGTCTTTAATAGGCAATTATTAGTAAGTACACAGATAGATAAAGTAATATATTAGATAGGCAACCTTCTAAAATAGAATACTTCTGAGAATTATTGTTTACATTTATATTTATGGAAAAACATGGGAATTCTTTTTATATTTAACATTAGACAATTCAAGGAATGGCCTTCTACCTTGAAACATCTCCAGGTTGGCATTAGGGAAAAACGTTTTTTTAAAAAAAAATTAGAATATTTTTATTATTCCAAAGAGAAGTGGGAAAAACATTTTTAAAAATAATAACTTAGAAGAATTTAATTCAAATGTTGAAAGAGGACAATGATAATCAATATTCAGGAATATATAAGTAATCCGTCTTTCTCATGTAAAGCAAACCCATATATAGTGCTTTTTAAATTATAAAATGATAAATTAAGGCTTTATTAACTGGGAAAGGATTAATTTCAAAGCTCTTTGAGCTATTAATAACTTCTAGTAATTAAAATATAATTCTATTTATAAAAAGGTCCACTTATAACTTCTGCTTCTTCTGCTTCTGGGAAGATGAAGTAGATATACTTTTTATTATTCTCAGTACAGCCAAAAGTGCACATAAAAGAAACAGAAGAAGACTCTGAAAGGAGGAAGCAAACACACTTAACAAAAGACCTTGGGACCTGAGGAATGACATCATGATTAATTCTCTGGATTTTCTTTGGTCTCATATATCCTAGACTTAAAACTAAAGACTCAGCAAGCTTCAAATACCAAGTCCTGTCAAAACACTGCTCTCTCTAGCTGAAGGGCAAAGAAGGGGACAGCACAGAGTAGAGAAAACTTTCAGAAAAGAAATGATTAAACCAACAAAAATTATAGAAGACAGTTGTGACTAGTCTAACAGAGAGAAACAATAGCATGGAAACCAATTGAACAGTTTCATGGAACTGACTGATCATAACAATGGCCTAATATTGGTATCATCAGACCTGTAGAAGGAGTAAAGAGGTAAAGAGGATAAGGATAAAAATATTCTAAGAAATAATATCTGAACACTTCCGAGATCTGTCAGAAAACATAAACCTATAATTCAAGAAGCTGAGTAAGCTTGAACAAGGGTTTCAAAATAGTTAAATGGAGGCAAGACAGTCTTTTCAAAAAACCGTACCATGGCAACTGGGTAACCATTTGCAAACGAGTGAAGTTGAATCTGCACCTTATGGTATATACAAAAAGTAACCTCATATTGATTATAGAACTACTGTAAATGCTGAAGTATAAAATTCTTAGAAGAAAGCAAGGAAATATGTTTTTTGACCTTGAATTAAAAGGGAAGATTTCTTAGATATGGCACCCAAACCACAAGCAACTAAAGAAAGATTACGTAAATTGGTCTTCATCACAATTTAAAATCTTTGTGCTTCATAGGTCACCATTAAGAAAAACAGTGAGGATTGGGGAGATGACTCAGTGGGTAAAAAGTAGTCAAGGGGTGCAGCAGGCAGGAGAACCTGAATTCAGATTCCCAACACCCACTTAAAAGCTGTGCACAGTGGTGTGTGCCTGTAACCCCAGCACTGGGGAATGGAGACGGCAGATCCTGGGGGTTCTCTAGCCAGCTAGCTTAGCCAAAATGGTAAACTCCAGGTTCAATGAGAAAGCCTTTCTCAAAAATAAGATGAAGCATGATAGAGGAAGACATCCAACACTGGCCTCCAGCTTCCCATGTGTGCACATCGCCCCCATCTTCGCCCAAGAAAGTGAAGAGATAACTGAATGGGAAAAATATTTGCAAATCACATATCTGATAGGAAACTATCTAAAATACATAAACAGCTGTCATCTCAATAATAAAACAGTGACCTCATCAAGAAGTGGCCAAAAAGATCTATATAGATATTTTTCCAAAGAATATCGTGAATGACCAATAAGAATATGAAAAGAAGTTCAGTTTCAATAATTAGCTACTAGGGAATATCAAATCAAACATGGAAGGACCAGTTCATACACACTAAGATGGCTGTAGAA